GTATATGTATATGTATATGTATGAATGTGTGCGAGCTCGAACGTCATCATTGCCAATGTTTCGCAGACTGGGATATGAAGTGGCAGGACTCTCGCTGACAGTTTTCTTTTCGAGAAGCTCTCGGCAACACTCGATTTTTGTCGCTTAGTTAAGGCTTAGTTATTTTTCCGATACAGTATCAGCATGCCTTCCTCTGGTAACGGGTTGGGGGATGGCCCTGTGCTTCAAGTATTTCCTGCCTCTCAGGGGGGCCTGCGCTCCTTGAGCGGAACAGAGCTGACCATGCCCTTCAAGGCGCAGGGCATGGGATGCTTTATGGCATCGGCCTCGACGATCTTTCAATGTGTGTCTGTGTGCGCAGATCGAGAACATTCCCGACTCTCTCAAGGAGGATCTTCCTTGGAGTATCAAACCATTTCCGAAGGTTAGGGCAGGGAGTGTTCTTATGCGCCGCGTGTATATGTCCTTGCCAAGCCAGCTGCCGATAGTACTCGCATACTCAGGAGCCAAGAAGTGCTGTAAGGCTGTGCTGGCCAATGGCCAAAGCTGCCATCGGCATTGCACCCACCTGAACCTGTCTTAAACCTGCTTCAGGAGACACAGGACCACCTTTCAAGAAGTATGCATTTCTTCAACAAGGCGCTTCGACTTGCGTAGGTGAGTCTACCCGAAAGAGTAGAGCGTCTCAGCAAAGCTTTGTCACAGCCATAGTCTGTAGCACGAGAGACCCTCGGAACAGAAAAGAAGCTTGAGGTCATGCGAGGGGGTCAAGACGGATTGGGGCATCGCTGTCGTACACTGTCCCCAACTCCTGCTTGGGCCAGGTCAACAAAGAGTTCCAGAAGTTGCAGGTGACCCACCGGCGACAAATACGTAGAGTTTAAATTAAATGGCTTGCAGAGCGTCAACAACTGGTTTTGATGCAACGACTTGCATGATTTGGTTGCCATGATCTCATACAAAGTTCACCTGTGGTGGATCCGTCAGGAGCAACTACTACACGTCACTCAGGAGCGCGATTCGCTTCGCCTGCGACCCAAACGAAACCCTGCAGTGCTGTGCCTTCGGAGCCTTCCGTGCTCTGCTGAGGGCAGCAGAACATCACCCTCCAGCAGCAGCTCAAGCAGCTCGAGCGGACCCTCGGCTCGGAGAGTCGTAGTGACGCGTCCCGCTGCGACCCATGTCCCGTTGCTGAGGGCCAGTAGCGAACAGATGGCGGTCAAGCCGGTCGTTCTGAGCCTGGGCCCCGGACACTGTGGTATCCAGCCATACGAGGGGAGCACTCCTGTGTGCCTTTGCGCAAGCCTTCGATACTACAAGAGCATCCACTTTCTAGTGTGAGCTCGGAATCGGCTCAGAAGCGGGTTGATGTTTGCGGTGCTTGACCGTCGACATGTGAAGGCTTGTGGAGTCGTGTACGGCCCTGCATGGCTTTTTCTCTCTCGCTCTCGCTCTCGCTCTCGCTCTCGCTCTCGCTCTCGCTCTCGCTCTCGCTCTCGCTCTCGCTCTCTGCCTGCCTTGCCTGCCTGCCTGCCTGTCTGTCTCTCTCGTCTCTGCCGTCTGTGTGAAGGTTCAACCTTTCCAGTGTGTAAGTGGAGAGGAGGACGTCATCGTTTTTCCCAGAAAGCCTTGTTACTCGGCAGAGGTCTGCAGGTCGTGACAGGGGGGAAGGGGACTTGCCGCGCTCTCGCAGCGCTCCCTTTATCTCCTGAGGCCAGCCGACCGTTCTTCCAGGCGACTGCATCCCGAGTGCGGTGCAGACGCTTCCGCCCGTTCCTGGAGTGAGTCTTTGACCAGAAACGTCTGCATGCAGAAGAAGAAGCCCACAAAGTCTGACATAAGACAGGATGGGTTTGCCCGCAAAGTAATCTCTTGCTAAGCAGGCATGGGGACTGTCCAAGGACCTTCAACATAGGCTTAGATGGAGAGGAACTTCGTGCGTGGTTTTCGTCCTAGGCCTGACTTCTGTGGTACCTTAGAACCCCCAATTGCTCGCAGCACCGACTGGGGCGCCGGCGAAGCCATCCATGGCCCCAGAGAGGCAGAGCACCCGCAACCAATCTGAGGAGCTTACGGGATGAAGCCAAGCCTTCAGCGTGTCTGAACTTTGGATGCTCGCGTCACGAATGTTCCTTCTGTTCACCTCGGGTTGGGGTTTTCTTCCACCATCACTGCAGAAACGTGTGCACAGCGAGGCATTCAGTAACTTGGGCAGTCTCCCGCGGCAAGCGCACAGTCGAGACTTTTCGGCATCTTCGGTCTAGGATTCCCAGCATCGCGGAAGCAGTGAGATTAGAATAGCAACCTTGCGTGCGACTGCTTTTCAAAACTTTTTCAAGACTCCTGATCTGATGCTTGGCAACAGCAAGCTGCCAGGGGCGAGCGATTCGTTATGGACAGGCTGTGGGTGCGTTGGCAGAGAGATTCTGTGCTGGAAGCGAAAGCATCAACGCATCTGTCTTTTGGGTCCCCTCCGTGTAGTTTGCATCATATCGCGGCCTCGGTTTTCGACTTGTTCAGGCATCACTCCAACCTTCACAAGGCTCCAGTCCACAGTGTGGCGATGAGTCTGACGCCCGGAGCAGGGCTTGCCAGGTGGTTTCTAGGCAGCAGAAACGCCCCCCGGCCAAGAAGTCACCCACAGCTGTGGCCAAGGCGAGGACTCAACGAAGGTTGTGACGGCATCCTGGGATGCCACGGTCCATGTCTTCGACCTCAACAAGCAAGCCCTTGACAAGACTGTACTGGGTTGCCGAGATTTAATCAGTATTCTTTGCAGTCCTGGTGCTGCAGGCTCAGACCGTAGTGTAGAGAGAGAGAGAGAGAGAGTTGTTGCAAAAGGAGCTAGCGCCGTAGTAGCCGTGAACGCTTGTCTGAGCTTTGCTGGTGTGAGGACTTTGCGCAAACAGAATGAGCTGGCCTCAGGGTGTGGTGGCTGTTTCTTTATGAGCCGACTGAGTGTGAGAGGGCCGAGTTGTTACCTCCACTCGGTGCTTTGACTAAGCCTCGACTTGCACTAAGAGCGAACCCATGGGGGGCCTCTACTCCGTGGCTTTTGCGAAGACGGTGCGGACCGAAAGTAAACTGCCGGTTGGTGGACAGTTGGTTTGATGATTGTTCAAGGTTTTGCGGTTTGAAGATATGCGTAGACAGTGATGGAGTCTGGCGGGTTGTGTCCAAAGCCAAGCGGCTCCACGAAAACAGATTCAAAGAGATGATGAGTTGGGACGTTTGCCAGGCGCCGGACATCTTGGGTTGTACGTCCGTGGACAAGCTCCGTCCTCAAAAGTGTCTTTTGTATCTGCTTGGAGCAGCAACATGTATCAATGTGTCAGTCGTTCCACTTTCCGAGGCATGTTTATTTGTGGAACTACCAGACAGGCCGCTCATCTCATTGTAGGCTTAAGCCCCACTCCTTCAGGTGGAATCAGCACCTGTAAGCAGCTTGAGTCGGAATATCAGTCTTTGCGACGTCTTCCAGCGTCTATGTGCGAGGATCCAGCAAGAAGGATTCTGCACGAGGGCACTTGCTTGGAGACATGCATGCGCATGCACTCTCAACACACTTGGCAGGCACGCAGCAGTTCAAGCTGGGCGGTGAAAAGGGGCACCAGGCTCGCAGGGACTTCAACAAGAGCTGTGGAAGCAGAATGTAGTCAGCGACATGGAATCTGCTGCAGTAGCAAAGAGACTGTGTGGTGATAGAGGGGTCAGGGTCTCCAAGTCCAGCTCGGTGCGCTGTCAAAGCGGCTCTCTGAGCCTGAGCACCTCTTCGCCATAGTAGCGGTCGCCTGCGGCCTGCACCAGCTTTCACTGCAGGACGAGGTCAATGGAATCGACTTCCACGAGGGTCAGCAGGCTGGCCCGGAACGGGGCACATGTTCGGGCTTGGTGCCGTCGGAAGTCGAGTTGCGCTGTCCAATTTTGGGGAACAGACGAAGTGTATCCAGACATTGCTCGTAGAACATCGTAAACCGCCGTTCCACAAAGGGCTCGAAGGAGTTTCGATTGATCATGCCAGACATCTCGGCTTACGGTCTGGTTTCAGGTCCGAGTCCAAAAGCACATGCGGCACTTGCAGGCGTTTTTGTTGACTCGGGGGTAGTCGCGACGCTTCGCACTGGATCGAAGTACGGTTTGGCATAACAGCATCTGTAAGTCAGATCAACAGTGCTTGATTGCAGGGTCTTTAGGGTCGACCTCTTCGGATCTTGGCGTGTTGTCGATTATCATGAGGAGCACGCAGTCCAGCAGCTCCTGGTTGAGATTGCGGAGCACTTGAAATCCAACCCTCGTTACCAAGTTACGGGTATCCCGGTACGGACTGTTTCCGAGCACAGGGTCTGTGAGCCTTGGACGCAGGTTATGGCCACCGCATCAGACGACTTCAGCGCTCCTTGGCCCTTGCTGTTCATGTTCAGGCTTGCCTCCTAGGCGTAACTTCCAACTATTGCGAATCGTCACCACGCGGGTCTTTGCTCGCCATGATTTCGTGGAGAACTCAGACTTGAAACGCAACGAAGGCAATAATCTGGGATTTCGCGGAGGGGATCCCTCTGAGAACGTCGTGGGGCTCAGATGGCAAAGACGGATGGTGCACAGGGTAGCAACATGCAAAGCTCATACTTATCAGTTTGCAGCGACGCGAAAGTTGCTTTGTGGTTTTCCGTGTGCAGATTTGAAGCAATGCCGCCGACTGCCGAGGCTCCCGCATCCAGGTAAGCCTGTTTATGGCGTCACTTTCCTTGGAAAGGACTGACCGGATTGGTTTGTGTGTCCCTCTATGTATCTCTCTCGCCATCTCTTTGAGCCTGAGCCAGAGTCAAGCCGACACTGTACTCTTACAAATCCATTTGCTTGTGTGACTGCGTGTAGGTCTAGAAGCCTTTGCGGAATTCTCAAGTTAAGGGCTTCCTAGACAGCGCCTGAGACATGTCACGTGTTGTCTTGTTGGCTTAGCGAGAGAATACCTTCTGGAGTACACAACTTTGTGTCAGCTACGGTGAAGGAAGTGAGAGCCTCACGTTGTAAGCGAAGTAGGCATCACCTTCTTGGCTTTGGGAGGATCCGGAAAGGCAGTACTTCGTTTCGACATGCTGCTTTGATCAGACTCGGCCTCGGTGGCAGCGCAGAGTTGGTTTCAGAGCAGTTTCTTCTGCAATCTTGACATTCCCAAGGAAAACGCGAGTTTTTGACATGCGAGACAAGAAGGCCTGCATGGCGCAATAAAGTGCGGTGGCGTGCACCGGCTTTCTTGCAAGGTTTACTGTGCCTTGCGGCCTTAAGGCATGTTTTGTGTAGCCGGTTTTCGCAGGCCTCCCATTTGCAACTTGGGCAACACATGGTAGTGGGAAAGCAAACAGTGCATCTAGTGTCAGAATGAAAGAAGACTTCGAATGTGGGAACCTCCGCTCCATCGAAGTTGATTTACTCCTGCGGAAATCTCAGCCTCTCCAGTTGTGGACCCCTTGCCTGACGGCGGCTCCCACAGAACACAATGGCAGGTAGTCGTCACCCTGGGCGGCCACACAGACGACATCATTGGCCTCCAGCTTGGATGCTTCCCTTCTTCCCCTACATGTGCAGCTTCTGGAAGCCCTCTCCACAGGCATCGACTACTCTAGCCACGGGCCGGCTGCTCAAATTAAGGGCACTAGCGAATCCGTGCCAAAGGGCCAGTCAACTATCAACATTTGCCCGTGCAGCTCCTTGAATTGCAGCTGCGCGTCTCTGCTGCGTGCCCTGAGGATCTTGGCCACGGGGTCGGACGATGGGCTTCTGGCCTCAGCTGGTCACTTCTTTGGGGGATGCCATGTCGCGCCTGGCTCAGACGGCCGTGAAGCCTGGACTGAACCCAGGACCATCCTAGTCTACGACATCAAGACCTGGAAGGTGCTTCACAAGCTCGACTGCAAGGCGCAACCTTGGGCCACATGTGGTGACTCCTGCTCGGTGCCTCTACTCACAAGGTCTACACAGTTGTTTCCAACAGTGGTAAGTCTGCAGGAATACGCTCGTGTAATCAGGAAGCTGTCTTTGTCCTTCTGGGGGACGGTGTTCTCCGATTGGGTTACTTCACTCATGAGTGTTGATTCTATGCTGGCGCAGATCAGGCCGACATGTCGGCAGAGACCGAGGCACGTTGCGTGTCTTCCATAGTCAAGATCGAGGATTCGCCAAGACCAAGCCCCAAGCCGCACCGCAGGGCGGATTTGCCTCGGCTTGGAGCAATTGATGAGGGGATCTGCTTCGCATGTATCAGCTTAGCAGCTTGTGAGTTGAGGGAACATGCGACCAGCTCTCCTGAGTGGCGCCAGAGAAGTCTCATGCTCATGCTAGGCTTGTGAAACCATGGAAAGATGCGACAGGTGAAGCGTGTTGGGTTTAGTCGCGAGCTTAGACGCAATACAAGGTACAAGAAGCAAACTCCCAGTCTGCCCTGCTACGGGATGCGGGAACGCCGCGCATAAGTCGAGGTAGAGATGGCGACATGCTGGCTGCGGCATGTTCGACAGGGTCGGCACGCGGAATTTGAGCTGCTCTGTCTCCCTCTCGCTGTGGTTGTCGCTGTCTCTGTCGCTGTCTCAGTCTCGCTCTCTCTCTCTCTCTCTGTTCTCGCTCGCTCTCTCTCTCTCTCTCTGTTCTCGCTCGCTCTCTCTCTCTCTCTGTCTCTGTCTCGCTCTATCTATCGCTATCCATCCCACTCTGTCTCTCTGACCTATCTATCCCTCTCTCTCTCTCTCTTCTCTCTCTCTCTCTGTGTCATCTCCACCTCTCTCTCATCTCCATCTATCTCTCTCTCCCTCTCTGCCAACACAGCATGGCCGCGAGGAGCGTGGTTGTGTATTCCGGCTTCACCACAGCAGAGAAGCCGAAGATGTTGCAGAAACTAAGTCGGAAGCTGAGTCGGAAGCCGGTTTGCTTTTGACTGCGCCTGTTTCTGTGCTTGTACTGAACTGCTGTGGATGACGGCTCTCTTTCCCATGCCAGCTTGGTGGAGCTTTGGCAGTCAGGCGGTCACTCAGACTGCGTCTTCGACGTCGCTTGGGGCGTGGCCCCGAACGGTTCCAGGCTGCTGGTCAAGGGCTCAGGCTCAGCACCGCCCCGAAACATTGAAGTCGTGAGTCTGCAAGCCGCACGCGGAAGCTTTCATTGTTGCTTGTTGCTTGTCGCTTTAGGTCTCCGCCTCGCACGACAAGTCTGTGAGATACTGGAAGGAGGTTGTTTAAGGAGCGAAGCTGAGACAATCCGCTTCATATCCGTACGGCACCATGAAGCAACTACCTAATTAGCAGTGCTCCGAGAGAGCATAGAACCAGTAGTCTTGGGTTCGAGGGACGAAGTAGGTTTCGCGGCCATTGGCTTGTGGGCGACCTGCCGCCGATCACGGCAGCAATTAGATCGCGGCCGGGAGCAATGGCATGACAGGGTGGATGAGGATGGATGAACCACGGAATCAGCTGCGATGATGATACGTTTGCATGCCAGGGGTTCGCCCAGCGTGATCCCATAGCCTGTAATGCAGCAGTATTGCTTTGCGGCTCTTAAGACCACCAGGCTTAGCTGGGTGCGGCATTCAAACTGTTAGCTGACAACGCCTTGCAGAGAGCTACACGACTGCAGCGACTCCGAGCGTTATTGAGACTACTCAGACTGCAGGCAGTGGAGACTACGAGCGAGCGGCTTGTCATTGCAAAAATAAACAAGCTCTGTCAAAAAGAGGTCCAAACAAGAAAGAACACTGCGACCAGGAGTGCAAGAGAGGAGCGCAGTTCCCCGCATTGTTCGGCTCTTGTAAAGGCATGACAAACGAAAGGCCTCGCAAAGCTTTTGCTGGATAGATGTTCATGTTTCAGTCTAGCTTTGAATGGGCTGGAAACTACAAGAAGGAGAGCTTCGTTTCATTTGCGAGTTTTGTCAGCCAGACATACCGCTAAAACTTCTCAGACCTGGCCTGGTTTGCACATCACTTCGTGACGGTTCGACCTTTCTGCAACGTGTAGGAACCCTGACACGCTTGATTCTTGATGTGCTGTCTGTTCCTAAGCCACCATGCGGGAAGTCCATCCTCATGCCTTCCGACAAGTAGTTTAGACAAACTTGTTGCCGTGCTTCGGCCCCGAAACGTCCTGACAAAAGTGCGCCGCTTTCTTCAGTCAGTACCGAGAGCGCCTACATGCCTTGCCGAATCACGCCCGAAACCCCAACTGTTCTGGGTCTAGCATCTTGATCTGTGTGAGTTCCTGCATGCATCTGTTGTCAGTCATGGCAAGATGGATCATGAATGTGAGTTGCAAGAAGCACGGCGGTGACATCATCCGTTTTGGCATGCTTTGGCTCAGAGGTGTGCTAAATTTTTCTTGCCATTTTTCTGGCCTCGAAAGGTGCCATGCTTGAGTACAGCAACGGGCGATGGGTTCTCCAGGCGCGTGGAGTTCGGGGAGGGTTGAGGTTGGGGGGTACGGAGTGCCTGTTGCAGACCGCGACAAACACGCGGCCATCGGGGCAGCCGCGGTCTTTCGAGCGCTACAAGGTCCAAGATGATGGTGAGCAAATTTTTCTGGGAGTTGCAGACGTCAGTTGCTAAATCTTGGTTGCTCTCTGGAGGCACAGAGTGCATCGGCCATTGGTACATGCTTATCAGTTATCAGTGATTCTTGTGACTTCTGCGAGTCCTCGTCCCAGGCAGTCGCACCTGAAGCGGAACGCTTGCCCGAAGGAGGCACTAAGACCGACAAGATTCACTAAAGGAAGCTTCAGAAGAGCCTTCCTGTTGGATGGTGTGTGAGAAGGGTTCTCAACAGTGGATGTAGCTGTGATTCCAGAGCCTCCGTCAGGAGATGTCACTGCTACGAAGCTGGCGACCATGGGCTCCTGGACTGCAAGCTTCGAAGTTCTAGTCGTTGATTTAAGGGAAGCCTCAGGCGCCCTTCTCGCGGGCGGCGCCCGTGCCCGTCGCGGCCGAGCTACACGGCAGGTGCCGAGGCCGGCGCTTTGGAGCCAACTGTTCCTTCGAGAATAGCTCTGGAGCCGTCAACTCCGCCTTCTGCACAACAGCGCAGCAACCGGCATTGGCTGTGGAGGCGCTTGTTTGGTGATCTGGCGCAGACTCTGAACCCGCGGGGAGCCCAAACAATACCCTAAAACTGCCGTGAGCACAACTGAGGGCCAGGGAGAGCAGGTACATTGCAAAAAATTGCAGAGGTGAGTGACATCCAGGCAAGCCGCAGATCTGAGGTTTTACGAGGCACCCGAAGTTCAGACAAAGAAGCGATACACTCCTCAAGTCGAGGCTTGTCTTGCTTGCCTTTGGGCTTCATGTGGCGTTCAGCACATCGCTTCGGCGGAAATGCAGCAAGAGTGAAGGGCCGCTTTGTTCGTAGAGTCAAAGCTGGCAGCTTGTGCCGGAAGGCACCAGGTGCCTTAAAGCCTTCGCCTGCTTTCGAGCTGAAAGTTTGTCTCGGCTCGTGTTTTCAATGTGGGTTGCTGAAGCCCCGCGACACCTGCGTATCAGTACCTGGGATCAACATCAGCCCCCAACTCTTTGTTGCACAGGCGGTCAATGCACTCGAAAGCGAGATGCACGCGCGATCTGACGAAGAGCTGCGCATTGCGCTCAGACTCACGAGAATAGCCTGCTGCCTCCTGGAAATTGCATCTGCGGATGCTTCTTTGCCCCACGAGCTAGACAGTCTTTTCAAACTCATATTCGTCCCTCTGCAGAACTGCTTCAAGTCTGACGTTTCCACATCTTTGAGAGTGGCTAGAATACCATGTTCTGCTCCAGAAATACGTTCCTTGTGTACGTGGGGGTAATGGCCTGGTGTGACTGAAAGCTGCCAGGTGAACTTACCAAGAGCCTGAAGAGCCGGGCTCAGGACAACCAGGACAGTTGCATGTCAGCCGAATGCGATGGTCAAGCACCACAGGATGTTGCGTCTCGTGACTCATGAGCGCGCTCTGGGCGTGTTGTGGTTCAACAGGATTTCGTTGTGGACGTGGTGTGTGTTGGAGTCACACAAATTGGCCGGAGGAGCCGTTGGACTCGCTGCTGCCGGAGGCCTTTGCTCTAGTTCGAGAGGCGCCGCGGCTCGTGGTGCATTCGCATCTCTGCCTGTGATCCGCGCTTTTGAGTCTCGCATGGACAGGCCTCGATGCGAGTGTTGGGCCTTCGGCACTTTGATGTCCAGCTAATGGGAGGCGGGTCCCGGCAACATCTTGATGTCGCACAGGCTGCAAGTGACAGCATTCGCCTGCTTAATGTGATGGCTTTTTGGAGCAGTATCCTTCGAGCACCTAGGACTTGTGACTTGTGTGGCTCGTGGTGGAAGCGGAAGGTATCGCTCTCCACGAAGGCAACATTGCAGAGATGGGCACCGGTGAGGCTGAACTGCCACTGCCATCAGCTCTCAGCACCTGAGTTTCCCAGAAGTGCACGTCGAACTATATGGAGTTCGTTGCAGCGGAGCAAAGTAAGTCTCAAGCGCAAGACTCTGACAGGGCAAAACCCTGGTCGCCATCCTAGCGGCATTCCTCAATGCCCTCAGCGGCAAGGTCTCGATCCATGCTGCAGAGGTAATTCCTGGTTTCACTCGGGCTAGGCTTCCTTAGTAAAATTAAAAAGCTTGTGCATAGAGGAGGTCGAAGGTTTGGAGCGGCTTGTCTGAGTCGCAGGGGGTGCATGTCGTCACTGTGAACGACTACCTCGCGCGGCGTGATGCAGAGTGGGTTGCTTGGCTTCAAGCCTTCTTTGAGACTTTGTGCCGGAACCTCATACTTCTGGGCCTCCAGAAAGCACCGCTGCCGCAGTCACAGGCAGCAGCTACTGTCTCTGTGGTCGCGTCGAAATGCTAGAGGTTCCCGGTCAAGAAACCGATGGAATTCTCAAGTTCCGCAGCCGAGAAACGATGTCATCTTACGACTCTGGGTAGCTATGCACCTTTGAACAACTTTCGGCTGTCGATTGAAATGAATCCTTACTGCTGAAAAGGTCCCAACGGCCTCTGAAATCGTAATCGTGGTTCTAGGTGTTTGTCTGTGTGTGTGTGTGTGCGTGTGAGCCTTGATTCTAAGCTAAAGGTTGTTGGACATCGCAGGGGGGCTGAACATGTGCGTTGGTCGCCAGCCCAACGAAGAGGGCCTTTGCACATGCTGATATTCTCGGGAAGCGTCCTGACAACGTACCGGCAGATCGAATGGCAACCACGCGAAGCCATAAACCTGGCATGCTGACGATGAAGGTTCGTATTACTAAGGTTCCGCGAATACTGGATCAATAGTGGCCGGGGTGGGCACTGCCCGTTCCCGCATACGACTGGGAATAGCCATGTGACTCAGTCGAGCAAGACTCGTACGAGCTTACCAAAGCCCCAGAGCGAGGTCTCTGTCTTTCTTCCCTCTTTCTTCAGGTACCACCCAAAGTGTGCAATGGCACAAACTTGAGATGCAGTCGAACGTGAACACAGGTCCGAATGCACCTTTTTGTCCGGCGATGTGCCACCGTCGGCTTATAGCCTCGAAGTGCGTAGAGTTTTAGAAGTCCTTTGCCCCATGGCAAGCACCAGCTCGGATTCTGAAGTCTCAGGGGAGGAAGTGACCTGCACTAAGGTGCATGCTTCCCCGTTTGGGGAGGAAACTGAAGATTGGGCATCAGGTCATGACACTCCTCCCTGTACGGGAGACCAGCAGACCGCCGCAGGAATGGACATCCAGGCCTTTTTGGATAGCGAGAGAGCCAGGACCCCCAAAACACCGGTACCTTCTTCTTCTGATGCCGAGGTTCCTCAGACAGGTTCGCGGCAAATGCAAAGCCACGACTCGGACAAAGGTGCTTCGAGACGAAAACGTCGGCAGCGTCAGCTGCCCACCACTGCTAACGCCCCAGGTTCTATTGGGGCACAAGCACGCGCTCGCCAGGCCAAGTTTCAGTCGGCTCCAGCTTCGATCGTTCCTCACGTACTTATGCCTTCTACGTCTCCAGTACTCTGGAGTTCTTGACTGATGTGGATGAAGAATTGCTTGAAGAAGGTTACATGGCCGGCTTTTCGATTGCGCGTCAGGAAAGATTGGGACACATTGTGACGCGTTGCTGTTTGAACGGCTGCAAGAGGTGGACCAAGTGGTTGAAAACATTTCTTTGTTACGACGTGCTGCAATTCACCCTTTCTTCCTTCAGGGTTACACAGTGTACCTGCCATTGACCTACATGGTTCCAGCTGTCCCACATGTTATTCCCTTTGCCGCGACTGCCTAAACTTGATTGATGTGACACGCATGACAAGCTCGTTCCAGAGGCATGCTATGATGGAATGGAGGATTTTGGACTTTCAAGATGTCTGGTCCAATACCGCGGTTCGCACTAGTATTATGTCGTATTTGCTGGTGTGCAGTATTTACAAGTCTCGCCACGGCTATGTTCGTCGCCAGAGGTGTGTATACAGTATCAAACTCCCGCCTGGGAGCGCTGGTTACAGAATGGACAAGGTCGATGCTTCCAAGCACACAACTTCAGTGGTTTGTCGAATGACTCAGCCGTATTCATCCATTTACTACCACAGATGGTTCAGGCACTTTTCAGTATCAAAGCTGCGTCGCAGACACAGCCTTGCTCATCGGAAGTGGATGTTCCGGCTTCGAGTTACGTCATCCCACGGCCTTACAGTGAGCAGTGCATCGGGTGTATTACTGATCAACACGTGCTGGTGTGCTCTGTCAAACGTAGATGTACGGTTTCCTTTGTAGCTTTTCACCTTTTGCTTTAAGCGTGAGGCTGTGGTGTCTTGAAAGCAAGCTTCCTAACCATTTCTGCGCCAGTGGCCTCTTTACTGACAGCTGGCTATGCAGATCACTGGACAGAGGATAGTGCTGCAGATGTGACCAGATCAACCAACAGTTCCCCAGATCAAGTCACTCCTGGAAATATGCAAAACAGCCGGCCGAGATCGAAAGCCATGCCCGGGAGACGCCGTGTATATAGAAAGCGTTCGAGGTCTAGAGACTAAGGGTCTACGTATGAATGATGTCCAAAGATGCATGTGGAGTGTGAGTCGCAGGTTGCAAAATTGGATGCTCGGCATTGTAGGTTCTTGTCATGTGAATGTTGACCCAAGCTTTTCCATGTATTGCGACCGTGTCTGTATTGCCTTGCGTGAAAGTCTTTCAGTGAATGTGCCTGCAGCCTTGCGGTTGCTCGTGCGCTGACAAGTTCGAGTTTCAAACATGGCCAAGCGTTCAATTGAGATGGCTCAACTGCAAGAAGAGACGAACAGAGCCCGATTGCGGGTTCTAATACCCAGTGACTACATCCCACCTACGATGGTCACGCAATCAGCCATTCCTGCGTTCATGGACATTTCAGTTGTGAATACGGCTACTACAGATGAGGTCAAGCAGCTTGTTTCCGCTTATGTGCCATCTTGCACGGGAGTATACAGGCCGCGCTCTTGTTTTCAGTTCAGACAAAATGACAGACATGTCGCTTACTGGGAGCCGGTGGTGCGGTTCGAAGTCAACCAGCCAACCAACTTAGTCGTGACCCGTGCCTACTTCGGTTAAATCATGCATCTTTCCGTTTCGAGAATGCTACAGTGATGGTTTCCTGTCTCTTATCCCGTGTTTTCATCTGAGTGGAAAATGTCGACGCGCTATCGCTTGTACGTTATGCAATTGTTGCCCTTGCCATGCACCTGCTTGACCTTGCATCATCGTGGCTAGCTGTGTTTGCTCCGACTTGCTTGCCATTTAACTGTAGGACACATGTCGCATCGTGCGGACCAGCGTTTTGAGGATGCCGCAGGCTGCTGATCATGCGCTTGCCAACAATCCTCCGGTCATGACAGTCAGGTTCTTTCTTCGAGTGATTGAGATCGTTGAACCACGTGAAGAATTTCTTCGCAACACTGGTCGATGTGCCATTCGTTGTGAATGCTCCAGGGTCTGTGCCCGAGGACGCGAAATACACAATCACTGCAGGTGCCTTCTCATCAGATGCAAGATATGGTTCCAGTCCGTCAAAATATTATGTATCGAAGCTCGGTTTCTGCGCCAAAACCCAACACTCGCGGTCGTGCTTTAGAGTCGGCTGGAAGTCAGGATAGACAGCGATCAAGGACACCGCCACAAGATGCATTACCGTTCTTGCGTGCTGGGAAGCTATATGAACATGGTCGGATGGCTGTGATTGTTTGCAATTGTCGGGCGGACAATAGTAAAAAAGAGTTTGCCTTTGAGTATAGCGTCTGCCGTACATGTAAGTCAGTACATCCATGCTTGATTCTTGTTATGGCTGCATGTCCAAGCTGTATGTCGATCGTCAGACTTTCTCTGCAGTTTTGCTTGGCTTAAAGTCCTTTCTGCGCATTCGTGCTGTCATCGCGCCTATGCCGCCTATGTTAATCTTTACGATTCCAAATGTGGCTAACCTGGTGATGCGATGTCTTGTTCCTACTTTGGCATCGATTACATTCGTTGCCCACCTCAGACCCGGTACTCCGGAGGTACAGGTTAATGGAATCTGGGACAGATATGCAGCAGGGGAACGAGTGGCACAATTGGTTGAAAGCAGATTCCGTCAGTTGCCGCATGTATTCCAACAGTCAAATCGCTTTATTATTCATGAGATTGGGCACAGATGTATTTGCTGATGCATTTGATACAGACCAATGTCTGCTTATGTCAAAGGATGGGCAGTGTACCGACCCAGTGGTCGACTACAATCATTGCTTATTACAGTCATGGAACATAACTCGGCGTGCAGCTTGTGCGTTGGCACGGATGGTGAGGACGTTGAAATGGAGGTCACACGTATTGACTTGATTATTTACATGTCCAGTTGATTCGACATCCCTTGCGCATTTCATGATGGTTTATGCTTACCTATATGTCATCCATTGGGAGTCGATGGTACCGTTCATATTGAACCAACCAAAATCCCTTCGTGGCGACAAGAGTCCATCTCAAGCAATTCTTTGTCTCACGTTGGTGGACGTGCCTGTTGACAACCCCGGACAGGCACAAAAAGAGGTCGATTCTGAGTGCGAACTATTCCCCCTGTCGGGGGCTGTTTGTGTTATTCTGCTGTACATGCGACAAAGCTGCATTCGTGCATAGCTTTCCGCAGCCATCTCATGACTGATTGCACAGTGCTTTTCATGATTTTCTTCCTTCGTTTGGTGATTTTTTTCGCATTTTCGTTTTTTTGGCTTTCTCGCTTCCACTTTTTCTGTTTTTCACTCATGTGGCAGGGGGCGACGGGGTCGTTCAAGTGGCCATCGCCAACGAAGCTCCACTTGAATCGACCAGGAAAACGTACATGCAAAAGTAAATGCACGACCTTGGCGTCTGCGTACACAGCTGGTGTGCCTCTAGTTTCGCTTGTCGGTGAAAACCAGGTTTTCTAAGGTATAGGTCATGGCATGATCTTTGTGACTGCATGTTTGCCACAATCTGCATAGAGCCGTAACTATTTGTCCGTTTGCGCGCTGGACAATCATGCACCATAATTAGTGACAATATGTCACCCTCCACATCAAGCTTGGGTCTCGCTGGCCAGACATGTATCTTCAGAGTTGTATGTGTGTGTGTAAACGCCTGTACATG